AACCTGGAGCACGTGGGGGAAGAAAACACACACAGACACGGAACAGAGTCTGACAGTAGCTAATAGTAGGATACTCTTAACTGGAATTTACTATTTGTGTATTCAATTGGGCTTACAGCAATTATAGTACTTTCATGGAGTGTAGTAGCAGTATCAATGAATTCAGATTGCGTTATTAGCGAATTGTTAATAGCAGTATGCATAGCAAATCAAGTCAAATCATCACTGTTGTTTATAGCAGCAGCAGCGGAAAGTATCCGGCTGCATGAAATTTCAGTGATAACACATGGGGTAATTAACTCTTAAAATTGAAATAGGCTTTTATTACTTCGTTTATTTAACAGGGTGTACAGAGATTTTGTGAATTCTTCAAAGCGAAATAGGCATTATTTGTTTGCATTTCATTTTTTAATAAAGACTCTTAGTAATGCTAAGTACCTTCGTGCAGCTGTAGCAGCAGTATGCATAGCTATTCAGATCGCAATTTTTAGCGAATTTAATAGCAGCAGCAGAATGGCATAGCAAATTCAAATGCAATGTTAGAAATAATATTAGCAGCAGTTTGCATAGCAACCAATTATTATTGCTAATAGAGCAGGGGCAGCAGAAAGTACTTTAGTTGCATGCAATTTCAGTGATAATGCATGGATGGGCTACATCAATTCTAGTACTTTCATAGAGCGTAGCAGCAGTATCCATAGAATCAGATTGTGCTATTAGCGAATTATTAATAGCAGCATGCATAGCAAATCAAAACATGCGTTTAGTTGCAGCAACAGGTAGACTGTAGTTTACATTCACATTTATTCATTTTGCAGATGCTTTTATCCAAAGCAACTTACAATTGCTGGAGTTTCAGTGACTAAAAATGGATGGTATGTGAACTCCTCAAGCAAATAGGCATCACTTGCGTTTCATTTATTTAAAAGGGGCTTAGCAATTCTAAGTACCTTTGTGCAGCTGTAGCAGCAGTATGCATAGTTATTCAGATCGCATGTAGCAAATTTAATAGCAGCATGCATAGCAATTTCATATGCAATGTTATAAATAATATTAGCAGCAGGAAGTCAAATTGTTGCTAATATAGCAGCGGCAGCAGAAAGTATTTAGTTGCTTGAAATTTCAGTGATAACGCATGGGGTAAGTAACTCTTTTAAGTGAAATAGGCATTTTATTTCTTTGCTATTTAACAGGGCTTACAGTAGATATTGTGAACTCTTCAAAGCGAAATAGGCATTATTTGATTGCGTTTGCTTGTTAATAAAGATGCTTATATCAATTCTAAGTACATTTGTGCAGCTGTAGCAGCAGTATGCATAGCTTTTCAGATTGCTAGTTTAGTGAATTTTAATAGCAGCAGCACGCATAACAAAAATTCAGACGCAATGTTAGAAATATTAGCAGGAGTCTGCATGGCAATCCAATTATCATTGTTGCTTATATAGCAGCGGCAACAGAAAGTACATTTAGTTGCATGAAATTTCAGTGATAAGATAACGCTTGGATGGTAGTGAACTTTTTAGGTGAAATAGGCATTTTATTACTTTGCTATTCAATTCAACAGGGTTTATCTTTGGGTAACCCAATCAGGGTTTATCTTCAAAGCGAAATAAGCATTAATTGGTCGTTTTTGGTTATTTATAAAGGGGCAGTAGCAATTCTAAGTACTTTTGTGTATAGCAGCCAGTATGCATAGCTATTCAGATCGCAATGTTAGCAAATTTTTTAGCATTCAGAGCAAATTCAGATGCAAGGTTAGAAATAATATTAGCAGCATAATGCATAGCAAGTTGTGTTATTATTTTTGCTAATATAGCAGCGGCAGCAGAAAGCGCTTTAGTTGTCTTTATGTAGTCTTTAATGTGCAATGGGATTTATTACTTTGCTTATTCAACAGGGCTTACAGCAGGTTTCGTGCAGCAGCAGTAGATTATGCTTCGTAAATTCTGATTAAATATTACAACCGCAACAGATCGCACAGTAAATTCCTATTACAACATTGTGAATATCATTAACAGAAAGAGCATCTACTTCAACTCAGTATTGAAATGTTAGTGAATATTATCATAGCAGCAGTAGCAGAAGTTTTGTTGCATTGGCTGTATCGCACTGCATACATTGCAGACAGCTTTACCTATTGTAACGGGTCTATTGACTTCATCGACTCATGTCGTGCCGCTCGCGTCTGGCGTAGACACTGTGTTAGAGTAAAATAGGCATTCGCCTAGCTACTTATGCCTAATTTATGTATCTCTCAGCAGTTCAGTCTCTTGTGCAGTAGCAGCAGCTTGCATAGGCATTCAGTCATCGAGATTTTTCTCAGCAGCAGCATGCACAGCATTTCTATTGCGAATTTTAATTCGGACACAATTAATATAAAAGCAGACAACTGCTTTTAAATATAGTCACTGTAGTGTCCTGCTCAAGACCATCTTGGAACGAGCCATGACTTTAGCAATGATGTTCATACAATGCAAAGATTATTGTTCTTAATATACAATATAAATATTTTAAATTATCAAAAATAAATGAGCATCTGATTTTGAGGCAGAATTAATCCTGGGCATATGACGCACCTTCCGGGAGGGGGGAGTAATGTCACGCCCCTGGACTTTTTTTGTTGTATTTTCCCTCCCCAGGTGTGCTGTGTTCCCTTTAGTTAGTCATTCCTTGCACCTGTGTTTTCCCAATCACCCAGTGTTTAAAAGCCCCAGTCCTTTCAGTTAGCGTTTGTCGGTCCTCAAACGTCATTCCTTGTGTTTCAGTGTCTCCTACGTTCCCCGTGTGATCATTAAAGACTGTGAATTGAAGTTATCTCTGTGTTTCCTCGTTCCTCGCTCCTTGCCTCCCGAGAAGCGTGACAACTACAGGGTGTTCAGTGATTTATTTTTTCGCCAAATTTTGTTAGCTTATTAATAAGTTAAAGGTGAGTATTTCCATTGCAGTAAAGTTGATGAACGGGGAGAAACAAATGTAGCCAATATCTGGTTTAACATGTTGGGTCGTTTTGTTGGGTTATTCCTATGTTTATTGGGTTATTTCTATAAAAACGCAACCAGTTCGGTTAAAAATTTTAATTCCAACGGTCGATCGTTTCAACTGCGACAGATGATACAGCAGTAAATTAATATGTGTGCGTTATGTTTTTTTTTGTTTTTTTTTGTTACAAAGTGTCTAAGTCTTAGAACTGACAGACAGTTGGCCCTGAGAGGTCAAGTACATATCTACAGCGGATCTAAATATGTATAATTAATTATAACTAGTTATAATTATTCATATTTCCCCATGAGCTGATTCGCTACACCTGACACAGTAATATTGCTGTTTTCCTACGAGTATGTTTACATCTCCCCTGTCGACTGATATTTTAATCCGTTAAAAAGCCGTTATCTGCACTCTTGACTCGACAGGAGCGCTTTGAAGCCGATCAATTTCAAACCTATAAAAACCGGGTTCCTTACTTTTTCAGTTTGTCTCGACAGTTTTGGGGTAAATTTTACATATATTTCAGATATTTGGCCGACGCGCTCGTCTTGAAGACCCACCGGAGCCTCTTCATCCAGTGTCGCGTCCACTCTGAGTGAAGGTATGTCGCCTTTTTATTCAAAACTACATGTCCTTTCATCTGGAAATTACAGTGTAAAATTAAAACCCTTCGAAACACACAGAAATGAAACGCTTTATCTCTGGAAAGTTGCTGGTTACCAGAGCAATCATGCCGATCAATTTCAAACCTATAAAAAACGGTTTCCTTACTTTTTCAGTTTGTCTCGACAGTTTTGGGGTAAATTTTACATATATTTCAGATATTTGGCCACCGCACTAGTCTTGAAGACCAGGAGCCTCTTCATCCAGTGTCGCGTCCACTCTGAGTGAAGGTATGTCGCCTTTTTATTCAAAACTACATGTCCTTTCATCTGGAAATTACAGTGTAAAATTAAAACCCTTCGAAACACACAGAAATGAAACGCTTTATCTCTGGAAAGTTGCTGGTTACCAGAACAATCATGTAGTGATTATTTTTCACCGACAGAGGGCGCTGTGACCTACACTGATTACACGCGCCGCTACTTCAGACATGATGAAGAACTGAACATGGAAGAGAGCGGAGCATTATTATCATCAATTATCAAAATACACCATTATCGGTTTCAAGGTATAGTCACATAATAACCATTCTTTTTAAATAAAATTAATACTGTTTGTATGTACTATATAATAGGGTCTGAACAGGATGCTGGATTTTACAGAATTTCTAACGTTAATAAAAGTTCCACTGTCAAAACCCCATATGTCTTAACTATACCACTTGGGAGAAAGTACACCCCGAATCGATATGGATAAATGATAATACAACTAAATAATTGGACATGCAACAATTACATTTTCAGAATATAATTATATTTTATGCTCAAAAAGAGGCTTAAATGCAAAATAATAAGGCTAATTAAAGATCCATTTCCAAAAGCACAAACATATAATCACATTTGAAAAGTTAAAAGTTTGTATTGTATTTACACTGTACGTAACAGTTTGTGAAAATGAAAATATTAAGTACACTAAAAATTGGTTTAAAATATTTGTTAAGTAGTTGATATTTATTTTTGTACTGTGTTTATGTGAAGTCATAATCTTGGTATAATGTAGTAGGCTACTGTTTTGATTTGTTTGCTATTTGGAATGATTTGTTTAATACTTTTCATAATGTGATTTTTGGTGTCCTGTATTAAAAACAGTTTAAAATTATATGGAACCCACAAAACCATAAAAAAATGTCTCTGTTCACTTTGTTTCAATTGGTAAATAATAACAAGTGAGATTTTAATTATATTTTGAAAACTGAAATTGAAACCCAAAACTTAAACTTTTTTTATCACTTATGTTATTCCACATCTCCATTAGTTTTTTTTTCTGCTGTACACAAAAGATATTTGACTTTCATAGTATGAATAAATACACATTCTTCAAAATCTACTTTTGTGTTCAACAGAACACAGACACTCATACCGGTTTGGAACAACTTGAGGGTGAGTAAATTATGACAAAAGTTTCATTTTTGGGTGAACTATCCCTTTGAGAAAAATCACACAAACAAGAGCACTGTGAAGGTCTCTTTAAATAGCTGAGTTAAGACTGCTTGTGCCTGCTCAAAATTCTCTGTATAACAATGCAGCATTAAACAGTATGTAAAAACACTTTCAGAAGTGCATCGGTGCCATCTTTGTAATGTGAATTTTGCATTAGACTCTAGATCAATCTAGATCAGGTATGAGACCACAGATAACCACAGCCTGCTGATATAGAGTCTAACAGCATGATTACGAGTGTGATATATAGTTTTTACAAAACTTAAATTTCATTCTACATGTCACTGACACACTGTCATTACCACCCACTATCATAGCAATGTAACATGCAGAAGGAATTCAAAAATCCCCACACCTGTCTATAATGATACAAACACCACTTTTGTAACACTCGTCTAATCAAATTGATGTATAACAGACATTAATCCATTATTACAACAGTAAAACGTCAAACGAAAGACTGCTACCATGGCTTGAAAAGTGTGGATTTTTTTCCCTTATTTTCCCCATTCTTGTTCGGTGATTAACCCATTGTTCTTTCTATTTAAGATGGTCTTTGGAGATTGCATTAAAGTTGCATTAAAACCCTGACGTCCTCCTTCATTGCCATACAAAGTGGGTAAGTGCATAATTTACGACAATACATTTTTGGGTATTATTTGATCCTATGTATGCATATTTACCATTTTAAATTTCTGTTTAAAGGTTGGAACAAATTTCATTCTGTATTTGGAGGAGGAGGAGCAACAAAGGCGTTACCCTCATGTCCTTCAGTTTTGGGATAAAATCCATCCTTCATTATTGTGGGAGAAATGGCACTGAAGCAAGACCGTCTTTTTACAAGCAGTTGATACATGGTTTAGATTATTTTACATTTTGAACATTGCATATCCCAAGCCTGTTTCAGCTGTAATTACATTGTCTGTACTAGCTTTGTTCTGTTTGTTTGTTTATTTGTGAATTTATATTTATCTTGTAAACTGAAACAATTGCAAGTAACCTAATGTGATAAGAAAGTGATTAATAAGACAATTTCAACCAATTATTTCATTTAATAGAAGTTTTGCAACTTTAAATGTAATAGAAATAAAGTGTTTTCAAAATATTTGTATGCTGTATATTATTATTTACATAGTAATACAAATAATACTTGTACTACTACTACTACTACTACTACTACTACTACTACTACTACTAATAATAATAATAATAATACCAGGATCGTTAGAGCAACGTTTTGGGCAAATAACCCAACAAATTAGTTATTTTTTAACCCAATGCATTGGGTTACTAACTTACTACCCAATCCATTGGGTTAAAATAACCCAACATTAGGTAGGTGCTATAGGAACCCACCATTGGGTTATATGTTGGGTCATTTTTAACCCAACTATTTAAAGTGAGCAGTTATTTAGGTCATTAGTTAAATAAACCTAAGGGTACAGCACCCAGGTTCACATCGTTAAGCCACTAGTTAATTAATCTGGGCTCCATTAGCCCAGAAACACCTTTAACTCAGGTCACTAGTTTAAGCTATCAGGTCAACCGATCAGGTACACACAGCAATAGTTCACTAGCGTTAAGTCATTCGGTAAAGCCGGCCCAGGCTCACCTAGATAGCAAACACATGGTCTCACGGCTCTCCGGAACAGCAGCAGTACATATGTCTTGACAATAGATCTGCTTGTTCTGGGGGGTTTTACCTTTTATATTTCTTCTGCCTATAGGGATGATTTTAAGCATATTATTGTATAGCAGCAGCATACATATTTAATTGTTTTGTTTTCTTCTTCCAGCTTTGTTGGGGGGGCAGCGTAGCAGATCTATTCCGCCAAGACCAAATACATTAACATTGTCATATCCATCACCATGCTAAAATCTTCAGATTTGTCATGATTAAAATATATATATATATACATTCTGTCGCACCAGCAGACTCAGGAACAGTTTCTTTCCCTCAGCTGTCTGCCTACTGAAATCCAATCTCAGGAGCTGAACACTACATCCTAGATGGACCACCTAATGCTTAAAAAAAAAAAACACTGCATATGCATATGCTATTTACGTACCTCACTGTATAGTGCACCTTCTATTTATACTCACTGTATAATACACCTACTGTTTTTACATTCCTTGCACCCTATGTTGTATGTACAGTCATTTGCATTGAGCTGGTCTCTGCCCTCCTACCTCATAACTTGCACTATATGTCATAAAGCTTAATGTATATACACATAATCTATATTTATTTATATACTCTGTTATTTGCACTTCTGGTTAGATGCTAACTGCATTTCATTGGCTCTGTACTTGTACTCTGCACAGTGACAATAAAGTTGAATCTAATCTA